GAAAACTGCAAGCAACGAGTTTCAAACCCCGAAGAAATATAAAAATTTTACTATCCAACCATATCCAACCAGAAGTTCCTATCTCCCCATCCCATCCCACCCCCACTCCCAGTGCAGGGCGTACCCCATCTGTGCTGGGCGCCACAAAGCCGCTACGCACCAAGCATTGGAAGTCACGGAAGTAGCTATAAACGCCTGAAGAAAAGTCGCTATAGTATATATTATATATTATATATGATATAATATGATATATTTTACATATTATATATTATATATTAAAAATTACATATTACATATTATATATTACATATTATATATTATATATTATATATTATATAATATATATTCACATATTATATATTATATATTATATATTACATATTACATATTATATATTACATATTATATATTACATATTACATATTACATATTACATTTTATATATTATATATTATATATTACATATTATATATTATATATTATATATTATATATATTATATATTATATATATATATTATATATATTATATATATATTATATACTATATACTATATATTATATATTATATATTATATATTATATAATATATACTCACATATTATATATTATATATTATATATTACATATTACATATTATATATTACATATTATATATTACATATTACATATTACATATTACATTTTATATATTATATATTATATATTACATATTATATATTATATATTATATTTTATATATTTTATATATTATATATATATATTATATATATTATATATATATTATATACTATATACTATATATTATATATTATATATTATATATTATATAATTATATTATATATTATATATGTGTTCAGTCAGGAATCTAAAGATATATCATATCTATTCATATCATATCTACTAAACATATCTGGCAGATCTATTACAGAGCATCTATAATACCCTCAATGAAGAAGTCAACAAATAGTCCAACCCACCAGGTGGGGTCATAGCCCAAAAACTCAAGGCCCAGATCCTAGAGGCTAGTGCCATAATGCCAGTCACTCCCGAATCATCCACTGCCTGCGTTCCGAATCTTTTTTGGGACTTATACTAAAATTATCTAAAAGCCTGTGGGATTGATTGACCATGATTGACGGAGGTTTCCATAGTCATGGGGGGTACCCACATAGCTGGATGGTTTATTTCATGGAATCCCACTAAAATGGATAACTAGGGGTAGCCCCATTTCAAGAAACCTCCATGTCATCAATTTTAGGAGCTGACCTTGATACAATGTGCCCCAAACCCGCCTACACCATGAGCTTCATGTCGCTGGACCATCGAGGCCACCCGATAGCCGGCATAGTGCTTGTCCCCAAAGTTCTCCTGGCAATTTCTGGCATGGAAGAAAGAATAGCATACGAATATCATACGAAATACAATAGCTAAATTCAATAGCTAATATGATATAGTTAATATGATATAGCTAATAATTATAAATATAGCTCCATTGAAAGCCCTCCTTGGGATGGGGCATCATCAATCACAATCTTTCTGGAATAGGTAAATCTAAACACCCGAACCTCCTTTCGCCCAAGGTCGCAGCTGGTACCCAAGCCCTACCCTGCCTGATCTACATCGTAGGGAAGCTCGTTTTGATAGAAATAAACCCTTCCAGCTTCACCTTCCCTTAGCAAAAAATCAACCTCTGCCCCCACAACTCCGGACTGGACTGCAATGGCGCGCACTGGCGACCTGAACAGAAACCTCCCGAAAAATGTCATCCATGTCCCAATCATAAGATTCCTGGACTCATCGTCAATGGCCGAGTTGCCACACGGTGTTGTCTTGGGTGAAGTGTTCCACTGCCAACCTGAAGCCCGGCACAGAGCCGCGTCATAGACTGCGCAGATATCCACCCAGTGCAGCAAGGGAACCCGTAGATGGTCACGAAGTCTCCCTTCACTTGCACACCAACCCTCAACGACAATGCAAAGGTAAGACCAGCACAGCACACGGGGAAAAAAGTTTAAAATTGACGTGATGTATGTAAGCAAATGTCCTTCAACAAACCAAACTGGCAGCCACACAAACCTGATGCCTGGTTCAGAGTCCTTGCGTGAGAAGAGCCATATGTCATATGACTAGCTGTATGTATTGCAATTCCGTTTCACCACAGCACTCACTTCAACTGGCTTGCATTCAAACATAGTCAAACCAATCCTACCAGCTCTTCGAACTCGTGCACAGTGTGATTCTGCATGACTATAAATGACATTGACTGCATGACTGGTTGCCTTTTACTATACTCTCAGCATCATATTTTGCACCGGTGCCAACTGGCCAATCATAGGCAAGGATCTTGGCCGGATAGTCACCCATGGCAGTCAAGTAGTACTCGCTTCCTTTGGGAACCTCGGTTTGGTCCTGTGGTATCCCAATGGTCCTGTTTGATGTGATCCAAAACACGCGGGGCCCGAGAAACGGTGACTTTACCCTGTAATTTGAGATTGTTTTTTCATGGGAATTTTCGCCATTTGCCAATGTCCAAAGTGTCTAATTCTTGACTTAAGTATGCAAAAGGACTGTGAAGCCAGAGTATCTCCTGCATCAGAAAGCAGTTTCATCAATAGTGCCATCAAGACAACATGCCTGAAATATTTGACAAGGGACTCGGTCTTTGAGCGGCACCAGTGAGTTTTGAGGATCCTTCTGCGGACCTATCGAGGAGCTCGACCCAAGTTGGCCCAAACGTGTGTATTCGCGGTACGTTAGGATGAGCAAGATTTAGACCCCACGATACCCTTAAAGATCTTCGAAGATCTTGAAGATTTAAAGGGTTTTCTACCCTTCCATGGCAGGCGCATGTTGTCAGAAACTCGTAGCTTGGGACAAGTCTTCTCTGTCATCTCTCAGCGGTAAAGCATATCAAGGCCTTCAATATCAGTAGCCCACGCAAAAAAGAAAGCATGCGGCAGGATGTCTGTGTTCATCATTTCATGTGTCATGCAAGAGTTGAGCTGGAAGAATGGAAGATAGCCCAGTAGAATTCGATCCAGAAATAAGGCAAAGTGCAGCAAAATGTCCTAAGAGGTGCAGCAAAAAAATCTGATTCTGCGATGAAAGTGACCCAGATCGGCCGGTGGCCCCACCTTGGTCTGGATCCAGGAAGGCATGATCTGCTCCTGGGCCAAAGGATCAACACCCGACCCATCTGTTTTAGTGAAGCCCAATTACTTGTGGATACAAAAAATATCAAAAGAATCTAGAATAATTTAGAATAATTTAGAGTAATTTTGAACACATCATTTGTGGCTAGTTGTGTTATGCGGCTATCGCAATCAGTTGAATCAGTTGATTCACTTCACTTCATGCTTCGATGGGAAGTGAGACGCCTCAAAACTTAGAGTATATCCTCACTACATCTCATAACCAACTGCGGATGTTGCCCAAAAAGGGCACAATTCCGCATTGCATATTTGGGGAATGTCTGCAGTAGGTGCATCTTGGGCATGACATCTCTCTCTCTCTCTCTCTGTGAAATTCATGCGACTGAGAAACTCCAAATCCACAAGTTGTCACCCACCACCTCAGGTTGATTGAAACTGACCAGTTTGATCACCATGGAACGCACAAGGATGAGTTAGCATCAGAATGCATCAAATAGATTCAGTTTGTTGTGTTTTCGGCCTCTTCATGTGGAGGCTAGGCTAGTGAATGAGAGGGAGAATCACGTTTTGGCATGACAAGTTGGAAAAATGTCAACGTCGCGCATCTCGTACCCCAACACAACAAACATCATACACCAACAGTATGGCTTCAGGCAGCTCTATGCGAGCAAAATATTAGTGCTGTTTGCAGAAACTGAGACTTGCAAGGGATTCTGTCAAGGCAATCTAAGGCCAACTGCGCAATTGTTGTGATAACCAGCTGCATCCGGTTCCCACACAACATCCAGCTGCAGTCCCACTGCAACGCCTTTAACTGCGGCTCAAGCAAACCGCAAGTTCCAGCCCTCAAGCTTGGTGTGCTGGGGGGATTACGTAAGCCGTTGCGGGAACTGGAATTTCGACCTAGTGAAACAGAAAAAACAGGTGAGTTATGAAGCTTCTGCATTCTGCCAACCTACAGGTGTTTCCCGAAGCACCGTCTCACTGCTTCTGCGCACCGGTGCTTTGCAAACCCGGCACCACCAAACCTTTGGACGGCAAAATATCAAGTATCTAGCTTCTGATACCACATCTTCGGTGGTTCGCAAAAAAACTGTTTGTAGACACACTGTCATCCGCTACTGTACATGGTCTAAATGGATCTAAATGGGGCCATTGGCCACCTTCAGTTTCCTCTACCTCAATAGTTTGAGCGGATTGTTTCCACAGGCTTCCAATTCCGGCACATCCAATTGTGGCACATCCAATTGCAACAGCTACCCCAATAAAACTCAATATATGACATGGGATTTAACATTTAATGTAAATGTGAGTAAAAACATGTAAAAACTCATCTGCTCTGCCCTAGCTTCTTCTGAATCGAAATTGGAATCCGATCTCCTATCTGACAAAATGAGGCAGAATGACAATGTCATTCTGGACCAGGGATGATCAATTGGTGATCGTCAAGTGAGTCATAGATCGATCCATAATTCCTGACTGCACTGCGGCTGCTCACATACAGCAACACTCTGAACAACAGAAAGAGGGTGAGGCCAGGCTTAAAAAGACAGTGTTAAGTTAAATTCTCAGACACGCTGATGCCTTTGTCAAGTTTCTGTGTAGTTCTGCAAACAGGGTTGCATTGCCACAAATGTTTCGCCAGGCTGACAATAGCTGACAAACGTTCGTGCGATAAAGTTTGCATTTTGACCCCATGGAGAATGTCAACTGCGTACTATGTTCCGCAAATCAGGAACCAAAAAACAAGGATCTCACCCAATCAAAGCAAGAAGATGCAACAAGGACATTCGCCAAATGCTACCCATGCTACCCTTCCCTGCAAAGTCGGCCCAAGCCACTCGTCAGGAATGTTGCACAGGAAAAAGTTGCAACACGCACCTACGTTGTGGATGACAACGTAGGAGACCCTTCACGCACGCCAAACGGATGTTTAATGAAGTTCATTCAATGTGTGTAGTTCATACCCCAACGGTTCAACCATGTGTGTTTTGCCAAACGGTTCAACCCGTAGTTGTTCTTTTGACTTTAAGTGGCAACCCCTGTGTGTCATACCCTGTGAAGTCTTGGTTTCCCTAGGCGATGGCTCAAAAAGGGCACACATGGCTGGTCATCAGTATCAAACTGTTAACCATGAGGCTACCATAATTTGGAGCTAACCCTCTGGTAATTTAACATAGCTATTGAAAATAGCCATAGAAATAGTGGCTTTTCCCATTAATAGCATGGTGGATCTTTCCATATAGTTATGTAAACGTTTACCAGAGGGTAACCATCATATATCCCATTAAATCCCATTAAAACACCATAAAATCCCAGGATTGGTTGATCTTTTGAAGGTTGGGAAGCAAAATTTTCACCAAACCCGACGACGGATCTCCAGCAGTCCGATCTCCGCCTTCCACCGTGGGCCGCTTCACTCGCTCAAGAAGTTCCTTGCAACTTCTGTCTTGGCTTGAGAACTGAGTCTCGCCCGCTTAATATAATCTATAGATAGATAGATAGATAGAGATAGAGATAGAGATAGAGATAGAGATAGAGATAGAGATAGAGATATATATATATATAGATAGATATAGATATACCTGTATAGATATAGATATAGATATACTTATATAGATATAGATATATATATATATATATGTTTGTATATGGTTTGTATATGAACCTATCAACATGTATATTTATTATAGATCTGTAATTACCTGTTTGTAGAGCCTTGGATGACGACTTTCCTGGGCTGCATGCTCTGTCGTATTTCATCCTCCAGGCGAGAAGTTTGCAACGCTTCAGCTTCGGGGCCATCGAATTTACACATCTACAGTCAAGGTGAAAACCACCATTATTGGAATAGCTATAACCACCATAAATCACCATTAATCACCATTAAACCACATGGTTGTTGTGATTGTGGTCATTATTGCTATCTGATAGGTGGTGGAACATGGCCTAAAATTGCTGGGATTCATGACCTTGGCCGGTGACATTGCAGCTGAGCAACGTCATACCTGGGCGTTTTTACCAGTTTTCCATCCTTGTCCTCCCGTGAAAAAACTGCGAGAATGCCAATCAACCTGGGCGGAATATTCCCAACAAGCACTTGAGAGCATACTGTAGTCAAGCAATGGCATGAGTGGACTAACATGGACTAACTATCTGCGGCAAAAGACTAAATCAGCGGAGATCTCGAAAGATCTCCAAAGTATTTCCTGACCTGGACACGTCTCAACTGCTCAGGCCAGGTTTCAGTTCAGAGGAATTCTTCTTTGGCAAACAACAAGGATTCGTCCCTCCACCCTTTGGCAAAAAGTGTTTCGAGACCAACTTCTGTTATTGGCACTCAGATACTAGTATAATCTAGTATATACATATATATATATATATACAGTATATTATACTAATATATACTAGCCTCATCAGCCGCACTGCGGGTCCTTGTAAGCAACCCTTCTCATGATGTACTGGTAGAATACACCTTTCTTCGGATCACCTTCTGCCCAGGTGATCCTGCAACTCCAAAACAGACTGCAAATGACACCAAATCGACACTTACGCTCTGGTAATTTGTTACATAGCTATTGACAAAACATGACAAAACCCCATTTAGTTCGTTGATTTATCCATTCAAAATGGTGATTGTTCTATAGCTATGTTACTTTACCGCTGGGTAAGACTGATCCCAAGGAGGCTCCTTAACAGGTCTTCGCCTGGAATGAAGGGCACCTCCTTGCCTCGCAATGCGAAAAAACTCATCGGATCACTGCGGAAGAACCGAGAAATCCTCTGCCTTCTGGATCAAACAATCGATCCTCAGGTCCAAGGATGTAAATGTAGTCCTGAGTAAAGGGAGGGAGCCACCACTGCGGAAAACATGAAATATCATGAAATGCTGTTAGAGAAAAAAGGCCACCCCCCCAACTTTTGGCTTTCTGATTTACACTTGTTCCATTCGAGGGCAAAAGTATGCAAAAGTCAACATGACCAAGACCTTCCCAACAAGCGTGTTTTGCAAAGCTTACCTACACAATCTATAGCTACGTCTCATCCCAAGGCCGACAAGATTCATCATGGGAAAATGAGACCCACTTCCTGAGCTCCAACGGATAGCGCAAAGGACAATGAAAACAACAGCATGACGCTGAGAACAAAAAAAACTCGTCCTAAGCGTGTAAACAGTTACCAGATGTCACCAGATGTCACCAGATGAAACCAGATGTCACCAGATGTCACCAGATGTCACCAGATGTCACCAGATGAAACCAGATGTCACCAGATGTCACCAGATGTCACCAGATGTCACCAGATGTCACCAGATGTCACCAGATGAAACCAGATGAAACCAGATGTCACCAGATGTCACCAGATGTCACCAGATGTCACCAGATGTCACCAGATGTCACCAGATGAAACCAGATGTCACCAGATGTCACCAGATGTCACCAGATGTCACCAGATGTCACCAGATGTCACCAGATGTCACCAGATGTCACCAGATGTCACCAGATGTCACCAGATGAAACCAGATGTCACCAGATGTCACCAGATGTCACCAGATGTCACCAGATGTCACCAGATGTCACCAGATGTCACCAGATGTCACCAGATGTCACCAGATGAAACCAGATGTCACCAGATGTCACCAGATGTCACCAGATGTCACCAGATGTCACCAGATGTCACCAGATGTCACCAGATGAAACCAGATGAAACCAGATGTCACCAGATGTCACCAGATGTCACCAGATGTCACCCAGATGTCACCAGATGTCACCAGATGTCACCAGATGTCACCAAGATGTCACCAGATGTCACCAGATGAACCAGATGCCACCAGATGTCACCAGATGTCACCAGATGTCACCAGATGTCACCAGATGTCACCAGATGTCACCAGATGTCACCAGATGTCACCAGATGTCACCAGATGACACCAGATGAAACCAGATGTCACCAGATGTCACCAGATGTCACCAGATGTCACCAGATGTCACCAGATGTCACCAGATGTCACCAGATGTCACCAGATGTCACCAGATGTCACCAGATGTCACCAGATGTCACCAGATGTCACCAGATGTCACCAGATGTCACCAGATGTCATCAGATGTCACCAGATGTCACCAGATGTCACCAGATGTCACCAGATGTCACCAGATGTCACCAGATGTCACCAGATGTCACCAGATGTCACCAGATGTCACCAGATGTCACCAGATGTCACCAGATGTCACCAGATGTCACCAGATGAAACCAGATGTCACCAGATGTCACCAGATGTCACCAGATGTCACCAGATGTCACCAGATGTCACCAGATGAAACCAGATGTCACCAGATGTCACCAGATGTCACCAGATGTCACCAGATGTCACCAGATGTCACCAGATGTCACCAGATGTCACCAGATGTCACCAGATGTG